GGTCTCCTCTGGTCCTCTAAAACCTCCAACAACTGGTCTCCTCTGGTTTTTAAGCAGGCAGAGCAGAGGACAACCTGCTGACTCAGTTTAGTTCCAGTAATTAGACCTGAGCTTTAAGTTGCCTTCTCGTGTTTTCACAAACAAACCAACATTTTAATGTTTAGATATAGACACGACTTAAAATGCAACTAAATGAGACGGTTATTTCACGTTGGTCTGTTGTTCCTCTAAATCGGTTTCTTTCATCATTAAGGTAAACACTTGTTTGGATAAATAAATTATTAAAGCTAATAATCTAGCGTCTTCCTAACTCCAGGTAAAATGTTCTAAAGTCAGATTGTTGAACGTATTTTTCACCGGATCATTCTCACTCGTGTGTTATGAAGGTAGAAAAATGATTTCAGACCCTAAACCCTCCAAGCTTTTGGTTGAAGGGGGAAAAATCTCATTTTTGCTGTAAATCCAAGTGATCAATCTTCTCTTTTGGCCCGTCTGTCTCTTATCTTCTCCCATTTGTCTGACGTCTATTTTCCTCCGTCCGTGCACAAAAACACCCCATAAAAACGACTTCTCTGACCGCCTCTTCGCTCGCCGCCCGGCCCCCGAGGTCAGCTCCGGGAATTAGATGGCGCCGAGAAGATAGCGGGAAAATGTCACCCGAGAATGAAATACGGACGGACAGAAGAGGCCTCGCCTCGATCCAAACAAACACGCTAATCCGTCCCGCCGTCCCCTCAGCGCTCCGGTTATCTGCTGAACCGTCCGTAATCAGATTCACTCCGTGTTGTTTATTTACAGCTGAGGTCCACCGGGTTGAACAGAACCGCTCAGAGCAAATAAAGAATCAATACCAGTTAAATAAGGAGAAGGAAAATAAACCCCAACACGTACATCTGCATAACGAGGCGCCAGGTGAAGTCGGGGTGAGAGCTGCCAGACTCGGTCAGAACTCTACCGGAGCGGGCGAGGCAGCAGACGGAGACGTCGACCCGGTTCTGCTGACGTTTGCTCCGACAGCGCGCGCTCAGATCCTGGGGGTGTCATTAACGTCAGCTACGAGCCCGGATCGGGGTGTGTGTCTGCGTGTGTGTGTGGCTACAGAACATCAGATTTCTGCTCTAGATGTTTTGTTTTTTCCATTCAACCTTTATTTATACAGGTTAGCTCCCATTGAGCCTCGGGGACTCATTTACAAGAGAGACCCGTTTCAGACAGACCAAAGTAGATAAGGAAAAGAGAAACACCGGAAGGCAAAAAAAAAAAAAAAAAAATCGTATCTCACACTCTGTCCTGGCCCGGACACAGTGTGGAAGTGACAAAAAATACCTCACACATAAACAGCGACATACTGATGACATCATAATACATTTATGCATGAGGAGGACGACAAAGGCGGTGAGTTGTCCATGGACACTGCCAGAAAGTTCCATAGTCCTGATAAGAGATGGCACAGTGTCTATCAGCTCTGATACAGGTCCACAGATGTCCTCGGGAAGGGGCGGGGGGCAGAGCAGAACGTTTTGTTCACATAACCTCCAGGGGAAATGTGAGATAGTTGGCTTATTCAAAGCCAAGCAGGGAAGCCAGATTCAGATGACAACATTTGTTTTGGGACAGGCCGACTGTTTGATTTATTGTCTGCCTTCATAGTTCTGCTGGTACGTCTCAGTGGCGACTCCAAACAGACAAATTTCGTGGTCACTCCGCCGGGCCGTGCTTGTAGCCTTCTCCAAGGTTGATTCCTTCACAGCAGTGAGTTCCAGGAGCTGCAAATGGCCTGCGATTCTCAGAAATCACATCCAGCTTATGGTTTAGCTCACACAGCACCTGGTTGAGTGCTTGAAGCACGGCACATTCCTTCACACAAGGCAGGCAGCCTCGCAACTGCCAGAACCGCTGCCGCCGAATTACGAATTTGTCGATTTGCCAGACACCCGCCAACTCCAAAAATTTAAATTCAATTATATACGTCTTCAACATCCTCAATGGACAATACGGATAGATCGTCCACTGCCCCCAGGAATCCATAGTACATCCAGCTGCGAGTGTCCCTTCAGGGCATGAGGGCTCTCCTCCGCCCTGTCGTCACGTCGAGAAAAATTTATCAGTTGCGTTGAGAGACCAGCTGACCAGATTCATAATTTACAATTTGGAAGATATGTAAAGAGAGGCTCTGAAAAAGATTCACGGGACAAGAGCAGAAGCAGGAGGGAGACGGGAGTGGGAGCGGGAGTGAAAGTGTCCGTCTTTGTCGAGAGCAAGCAGGATTTCTACTGGCTAAAACTTTTCTTTCATTAACAGCTAAAAAAAACCCCTGCATTTCTGTTAAAATACATGCAGCGTGATGTTGAGAGCTGAACAACTGTGGAATGACTGCTGAACATAGCTAAAAATGCTGATTGACAGCTAAATGATAGCTGAAGTATTGCTGAAATACAGCTGAATGAGGGGTGAAAAAGCTTAAATATGGCTAAAGGCAAAACAATTTCAGCAAAAGTTAAAATCTGTAAAACATCAACTAGAAGCCAAAATTTGTACAACTTTAGCTCAAAGCTAAAACAAACAAACAAACAAACAAAAAACAGTAGATCTATTCTCTGACCAAGGAAACAATAGCTAAAAGCTCAAACCAGCCAAAAAGCTAAACTCTAAAACACAAAACAGTAGTTTAAAGTCAAAATGAGTAGCTCCAAACTAAATCCAGCAAAACAAAAACTAAAATGAGCAAAACAGTAGCCAAAACCTAAAACTAAAGTGACAATTTAAGACAAGCAAAACAGTAGCTGAAACCACAGCCAGCAGATCAGCAGCTAAAGCTAAAATTCACAAACCTCGCTAAAAGCAAGAAATTATGTTGAAGCCGAGTTCAAAAAGCAAAATATTTTTGAAAGATTTCAAGAAATCCTAGAGCATTTTTATGTTAAAAATGTAAATAAACTGAAAATGTACAAAAGTAACAAAAATCATTCACACAATAAAAAGTGTTAGCAAACGGTTCGACCCAGAGGAATCTAACCGGCAGTCCTTAGAACCTGTCAGAACTCCAGCAGCTGCACTTTGTGTGGAAACTCACCGTTGATCCATTTGGCCTCCGGGTCGTGAACTTTGAACTCTGGTTTGAACAGATCCTCCACCGTCAGTTTAGTGTCACTTCCTGCCTGAGTGTCGGCTGAAAAATAAAAGTGATTTGTTAGTTTTCATAAAAACAGACATCATGCAGGTTCATACGTGAGTTAGCTGACTGAATGAATAAATATTTGATTTATAAACCTCCAGTGTTTCTGTTGTTCATCTAAAACAGTTAAAACTGACATCTAACGAGGTAAAAAAAATCAGGTAAAATGATACTTTATATAAAATTTTCATTTTTTCAATGGCCCCGCCCCTTTTTGGGTGCATCCAAAAAATGGAAAAACCTGCTGATGAACTGAAACAACACAGGTGTTCCGCCTAAACGGTTATTTTTTATTGCTCGCTGCTGAAAAGCCAATGTTTGTTCTGTTTGTTAGCAAAATATCTAATGAACAGTTCACAAATTTGAATAAAACTCTAAATAATCATTAACTTTTGTAGGAAAAAATACATTTTATTCCCTGGTTTGTTTCTCCAAAACTAAACGGGTCAGTTACAGGAGACGTGGTTTTGCTTCAAACAGAATTTAAAGCTGTTTTTATTTGTGTCGTGTAACATGAAATTATTAATATGCATTACCAAAATAAAAGCGGAAACAACACAAACTATTTGGGGTTTTATTTCGTGAATGAATAAATTCAAAAGTTAGATTCATGACATTTCCTGTTTCATATTTCAAACTAACAAATCGGTTGTGAACCTGAAACAGTAGCTCGAGACAAATTAGTCCAAAAAATTTAAATCTGCTGATAATTCTTTCTACTGCCTACGAGAGTTTTATGTCCACACATGCTCAGATGGATGTTCACATCTGGTTCACAGACAGATGTGCTGAATAAACTCGTCTGGTGACATTTTACAAATTTGTCACTATGATCGTTATTTGTGAACATGACATCAGAAAATGTTTCGTTTTATTTAATAATGAAACGTTTTGCCTTCAGCTTGAGGAGGAAATGCCAGCAGCGCGCTCCGTCTGAGCGGGCCAGCTGCCGGTTCTGAGCAGAACATCCAGGCCGAGCTTCAGCCATGTTGGCTTCCCTCAACCCCACACAGCGCGTTTGTTTATGGAGGTAATGAAAGTCTAACCGAGCGTTGAATCCACCGAGGACGACTGAGCTGTGCTGGTTTTACATCTCAATAAAACTCAGAGTCCGTGTTCCAGAGATAAAAATAAAACGGACTAACAAACATCATCGTTTACCAAATATGATCTCAGCAACCGTCATCCTGAGCCATGTGAGGGACATACAATCGAATGAACAGTCCAAAGCGACGCCCGTGTCAGTAACATGCCAACATCGTTCACAGATTTCTGTGGAGACAGATTTTACCCACTACAGCTGATCCATTTAATCACCGCGACGCCACACATTTGGTCGAGGATTAACATTTATCTGATCGCTGAGACGAGTGGATGCGGAGGATCTGATCAGGAGACTATAAATTATTGTTGCAGCAGAGTTCTTCTGTCTTCATGTTCCTCTCCGTGGCGGCTCCACCTGCAGTGGTGTGAAGCTCAGCCGACAACAGGAATAATTTAAATCAAACCTGAGGCTGAGTGAAAAAACTAAATGTGAGAGAAGAACGAGTCGTACCTGGAGTCAGGAGGATGACAGACATGGTGATGAGGGAGCAGACCACCAGGATGACCAACAGAGCGATGGCAATCCCCTTCCAGTTCCTCTGAGGAGGACTCACTCCACCCAGGTCCTGCAGAGACGAGGAAAGACTCAAGGTCAGAGGGGGGAATAAATACACACAGACCAGTTCACTTAAATAGAAACACCTATACTATTGTTTTATTATTACCTCATAATGACTTAAGAATATATATATATACATATAATATATACATATATATACACATACATATACATATATATACACATACATATACCATATACACATACATATATATACACATACATATATATATATACACATACATATATATATATACACATACATATATATATATATATACACATACATATACACACACATACATATATATATATACACATACATATACACACACACACATATATATATACATATACACACACACATATATATATATATACACATACATATACATATACCCACATATATATATATATACACATACATATACATATACACACACATATATATATATATACACATACATATACACACATATATATATATATACACATACATATACACACATATATATACACATACATATACACACATATATATATATATATATATATATATATATATATATATATATATATA